TGGGGGTAGCATTTGTCCTAGTCGGCATCCCTGGGAAGTTATGGTTAACATGAAGACTTTCGGTAAGGAGGTTCGAGAACAAGAAGAAAAGAAGACGTAACCGAGTTGCAATCAAACGTTGGGGCAGCCAGAAGACTCAAACCGACAAGAGCGAAGCAAAGACGAGTTTGATCACCGAGTGTTCTAAGCTAAAGAGTAAGACTCTGTGCCGATGATTCCTGGTAAGAGATCTACCTAAAACCAGGAAGGAACGAGAAGTAGCTAATCTTGTATGGGAAGATTGAATAGTAAAAGGAAAGACAGACATGAATGAACTTAAGGACCAGTTCTTCTGTGGATCTCCATAAGTAAGACAAGTTCGTGAGGCAACAAAGTTTTCAGGGAAGACTTACCGTTAATCAAGTCAAGAAAAGACCAAGTTGGTTTGTAGCCAACTACCTAATGAAGATTTCAAGTTTATCAACTATAAACAAAACTCGGCCAACTAAGCTTCTAGTAAGGACAGGAGCAGATCTTTGGGCAAGGAACCATGTAAGGCCTCCAAACGTTGACTTTGGTAAAGACTTCAGATTACGAAAAAGTTATACCGTTTGCGGTTGGCTTAAGGTTGTAGTTGAGCTCTACGATTCAACCAGCTTTAGATGGTTAACAGGGAAGAATCATACAGATCAAGGAGGCAAGCTGCGAACTTGCGCTATGAATTTTCAAAGGTCGTGCATTGTGCTCTAACCGATAATGTTTTAGCAAGGACGGACAACAAGTCGAATCTCTAAGAAAATTAAGGAAGTTTGCCCAGAGTTTCGTTTCTGACGTAATGATGAAGACCGATAAGGGAAGCAAATCAACTCACAGTTGCCTGGTTCGTGTGAGTTTCGCTCGACTGTAGCAAAGTTGAAGAAGAAACCGGTGTTTGAAGAAGGGTTTGGGGTGAAGATGTTTGAGTTCTCAGCTTATGAAGAGGGTCCGATAAAGATCTTAACGTTAGAACGCATCGGAATCAGGGTAAGGAACCTTCAGTTCGTCAAAAGTGTAGTGATCGAAGCGTCAAGTCGAAGAACTCGCCCGAAGTCGAGAATCCTTAACCCTCTTTGAGCCGTTTCCCTCCCTTTCCCTCGTCAAATCTTCTGCCCTTCTCGTAAAATCAGTCCTATCTCTTCCAGCCTCGTTCTTGTTTCCTTCTTAATTTGATTCTGTACAAGGTGACAACCTCGTTTTCCTAAGTTGTAACCTTGAAAATCTTGATTTCCTTTCTAATCAATGCTATCATTGGACCTAAACCTAGAACTCTTCCGTTAGGAAATCCTTATCTATCCTTTTTAAACCTCGTTCTTGTATTTCCCGTTTCTAACGATTCTGTGCAAGGTGGCAACCCTATTTCCTAAGTTGCAACTTTGATGACTTTGATCGTATTCCTATAACATGGTCCTCGAGTTTCTGAACCTAAACCTTTCACTCTGGTCTTTTCCTTTGAACCGTACTGTTCTTGCAAGCTTTCTTTTCCCTAAGTTGTCTTTCTCCTTGCTACCGTTCCTGCTTTGGACCTTTCATCCAGATCGAAAGTTTTGAAGTTTTCAAGTGCTGCTTTGTAGAGAGTTGTGGGCGGTGTGTTAATGCAAGTGATAAGTTGGCAGCCTGCATCAAGTTAGCCCAAGAGCTATGGAGAAGGACATCCTGCTCGTGTTTGGGAGCTGGCAGTAGTAGCCTTTGTCTGGAAATGTCGAATAAAGATCAAGCGGATGCCAAGATCTAGTTGTGCAGTGTGAGAACCTTGCATCTTTTGGTTGGAGAAATCAGCGGTGATCTGTTGAAGACGCGATCCTTGTTCTTCGTTCCCGGGTAATCTAGCTTTAGTGTTATCTTGGTGTTAGTTTTCGTTGTAGCTTGTTCCTTAGCTAAGACGTCTAGGTCTGGGTAGTCCGGTGGCTAGTGATGGGTAGAGAGTTGAGTATAAGGTAGAATTAGTCTTCCCTTCTGGTAAATCTTCTATCTATCGCCTTATCTTTCTTTTTGACTTACCTTTGTGAACCCTCAGCCTATTTCTAAGCCTATCAGTCTTATCACCGTAAATTGAAACCTTGATTTCTTTAACTTTAGCTATTTGGTGGACACCTTTGTTAATTGCTTTCTCTTCTCACACCTTTGTTCATTGCTATTCCTTTTGGTAACCCGTCATGCCCAAGCTTCGGGGACGAAGCTTCTTGTTAGGGGGAGAGGATGTGACACTCCGTAAATCTAAACGCTAATTGGGATTAATTAAGGAATTAATCCTAGCCTTCCTTGGTAATTTCTTCCTAAAATCCTGAAATTTCATAGTCGAAGGACAAGAAATTGACTAGTCTTCTTGGTGTACCTTGTGCCTTGTGTATTGTACCTCAATCCCTTATTCATCCAAACCTTTTAGTAAGGGTAACTTGGTCTTTTCACTAATGAGAGGTGCTCATGTCGCCCTAGCAAGACCTCTTGTCTTCATTCCATGCTAGCCAAAGTTCTAAAAACTCTCCAACCTCTCTCTAAAAGAATCCTAGCTTGCTCTCCAAGCCAAAAAGGGAACTTCCAAGCTTTGCATAGTCTTCCACCAAGATTCCAACTTTCCAACACTACAAGGCTAGGAATGGTAAGATCTATCCTTCCCTACCTTTTCTTTACAAGATTCCCCCATCTTTTCTCTAAATCTTTCTTCTACCTTGTGGGTTTTGGGAGTTTGTAGAAGATCTAGTGGTGGGTGAAGTGCTAGGTTGATCTAGATAAGCTTTGGTCTTGCTTTAAGGTTGAAGAAGGTGTTCTTGGTCTACAAGAGGTAACCCATGCTACACAAAACCTATTTTCACTTCATAATAATGATTATTGGCTTCTATGTGACATTCTTGATGTGTTTGAGTGATTGATGCATTGTCTTGTGGTGATGCATTTTTAGAGCTTATATTTTAGGGTTCTTGAATGTTATTTTATGAGTTATTCATAGGTTCAAGCCATATCTTTGTTGTGTGGAAGATTTGGGGTCATTTGGACTTGAACTTGGCCTAAAAAGTGATTTTTCGCGAATGCTGAAATTTTGGGTGCAGGGTGTACCCGCGGGTGGAGCCCTACCCGTGGTTCCCCCCCGCGGGGAACATGTTTGGGATTTTGGGGATTTGTCCCCCGTGATCCCTTCTTCTTGGTATTTGATGTTTTGACCTCCCGTTGTTGAATTATTGTGCTTTTGTGAGTCTTCTTGATGTTTCGTATGTCTAGAACGATGAGTTAGGAATCCACGTTAGGATTTGGTGTCTTGAATCGTGCTTATGATCCAACCTTGTGATTCGTTGGATTGATGTTGAGTCTTTGTGGTTCATTGGAACTATTTTGGTTTACCCGTTTGATATGCATGCTAGTTTGATGTTGTAATACTAGTGTGTGTAGTTTGTTCATTCCTATTGAGGTTGGCAACTTGTGTTGACCATCGTTAGTGTCGGATTGTAATCTTTCCTTATTGAGTATGGTTTCATATCTTTGTTGTGATCCATTGATTGATTCCTGTGATGAAAACATGGGTATTGGCTGTACCTTGATTGCACGATTAAGGGTATGGGACCTTAATCTCCAAGGTACAGATGTGGTATCCGTTGTTGTACACACTTTGTGTGGGATCTAGGTGTTGTTGTATCTCTAGATTCCATGTGTTTTTACTCTTGATGAGATGATGGATTGATGTGATGAGATGATTGAGCTGGTAAAGTGGACAGTGTGGGGACTTATGTGTGAACGGACTGGTAGTGAAGCTCTGGATGGCCGTTTGGTTACTTGTGACTTGTGGGCAACATGGGAAACTCATCCCCGTTCCCAGAGATAGTAACTAACCCGTTGAGCTTGGAATCTCAATAGGGGGTGTATATACTTAAGGTTACTATATCTGTTTCCATTGGGCTGCGGTCCTTGTCATTGCGATGACACTATGCATGAGATCCGGGTCGTTGCGATGACTACGCGATACATGATTGATGATTGATGATTTGGAGCCCTCCACACTGATCCAGTATGAATCGAGCCGTGGTGCTGACTCCATGGTATATGACTTGGTGTGATAGTGTCAAATAATGTGGACTTGAAACTCGTTATGGTGTGAATCTTGCCTTCCATGCTTAAGAGCATGTCTATTGTGAATCTTTCGTTGTGTGTCGCATGTTGTACCTTGTTATTGAGCTTGTTGCTTGTGGTTCTATTATCTTGTTGAGTATGTTAGTCTTTGACCTTTGTTGTGAGTGATTGATGAGTTCATTGGTGTTTCCTCTCTCGGCTTTAAAATGATATATACTGTATTCCCAGTTTCAAACGCTTTTGATTATATCTATGTATATATTATGATACTTAACGCATGTTGATGGGTTACCAACATTATTCACTGACAGGGTGTTATCCCTTATCTTTTACTGGTTGAGTAGCTTTGGAGAGCGCGTTAGTGGCCTGTAGATAGATTAGATCTCTTCCTTTAATAGTTGTTGAGGCCTGTGAGCCTAAGTAGTTGATTTGTTAGACTGTTTAGTGGTTAGTGTTTACCTGTGCACCTATTGTGGTGTAGGTGTTGCATAACATCTCCCGTATTGGTGTAGTTAGCTTCCGCTTTTCTTATGTTAATGTTTAGACTGCATCTCTTTTCTAAGCTTTAATTGTGAGGCAACGGGCAATGATGTGTCAAAAAACTTGTTTGTGACGGGTCTTGGTTCCCAAACCCGCCAGATCAAATGAGTACCCTAAGTTGGAACTGTCGTGGTTTGGGCGACCAACGTACAGTTCGCGAAATAGTGGACACGGCGTCCCGCAACAGGCCTGATTTTATTTACCTCATGGAAACAAAGGTGGACCAAAGTCATGTAGAGCGTATTCGTGTTACACTAGGGTTTGATGGATTGTTCTATGTTGATCCGGTTGGTCTGATTGGTGGTTTAGCTTTATAATGGAGGAAGAATAACACGGAAAGGCTTATCAAATATTCAAAGAATCATATTGATGTGGAAGTAAGTATGATGGGCTTCCCTAAGTGGAGGATGACATGTTATTATGGGTATCCACAACGGCATAGGCGCACTGAAGCGTGGGATTTCATTAAATCACTGGCACCCCAGTCTGATCTGCCATGGATTATGATTTGGGATTTTAATGATCTTTTGTTCCACTATGAGAAGAGAGGCGGAAATCCACACCCAGATAGGCTGCTGCGGGGTTTTGGGGAGGCTATTGAGTACTGCGGCTTATCTCAGTTGCCAATGAATGGGTATCAGTTTACCTGGGAAAAGGGGAGGGGCACATCTCGGTGGATTGAGGAAAAGTTGGATAAAGTGTTAGCTACCGATGCGTGGCGTGATATTGTCACTAGAGCTAGGGTGACTAATATCCTAATGAGAAGATCTGATCATTCTACCCTCTTTATGGGAATACACGATTCTATAGGGAGGGGGAGACCACAGAGAAAGTTACGTTTTGAAATGGCCTGGCTGCACGATGAGGGGTGCAGGACTGTGGTGGAGGAGTCTTGGGGAGAAGGGAGGAACGGTGGTTTGCAGGAGTGTATTGTGCATTGTGGTGACCGTTTAGCTCGCTGGGGGTGATCGGTATCATAAGTTTGGTGAGCGAATTGCGCAGCTTCGCAAGGAACAGTTATATCTGAAGGGGCGCACGGACCCAGCATCATTAGCTGAGTTCCACCGTCTGGATGGGGCTCTGTGCTGAGTTGAGGCCCAAGAAGATGCATACTGGAAACAGAGAGCCAAACAGCACTAGTTAAAGAGTGCCGATGCCAATACCAAATTCTATCACAGGTACGCCTCTAATCGCAAAAGGAAAAATAATTTATCTAAAATTATGAATGATGGTGGGGACTGGGTGGAAGGTGATAGTATGAGAAAGGTTGTCCAGGATTATTTTGCCAATATCTTTTGTACTAGTAATCCTACTAGTGGTGCTGAGTTATTTGAAAAAGTTATGCCCAAAGTTACACCTCTACAAAACGAATTACTTCTACAACCCTTTGGAGTGGATGAGGTTAGGGAAGCTCTATTTGCAATGTTTCCAGATAAAGCACCGGGGTCGGATGGAATGAATCTAGGCTTTTACCAGCATTTTTGGGATGTGGTAGGTGAGGATCTCTCAGAGTTTATTGTGGATTGTCTGAATGCACGAAACTTCCCTGCTACATTGAATGAAACAAATGTTGTATTGATCCCAAAGAAATGTACGCCTGAGCGGGTAACGGATTTGAGACCAATAGCCCTGAGTAATGTGGTTTATAGGATAATGGCTAAAATGATTACACAAAGGATGAAGCCCCTGATGGAGAGTGTTATATCTGAATCACAAAGCGTGTTTATACCAAATAGGCTCATCACTGATAATATCTTGATAGCAGCAGAAGTTGGTCATTATCTGAGTAGAAAGCAGTGTGGGGTGGTAGGTTGGGGGCTCTCAAGTTGGACATGGCAAAAGCCTATGATCGTATGGAGTGGCCATTTTTACAAGGAATGTTAAAGGCCTTGAGCTTTGATGAGAGATGGATAGAGCTTATAATGTTATGTGTGACTACTGTGTCATACAGGTTCTTGGTAAATGGTTCCCCCAGTGAACCGATCATGCCTACCAGGGGACTTAGGCAGGGTGATCCATCGTCTCCCTATCTATTTATTATATGTGCAGAGGGGCTATCTGTTTTGTTACAACAGGCACAGAATGATGGTTTGATACATGGCTGCAGAGTCGCGTGTGGCGCACCCCCAATATCTCATTTATTTTTTTGCTGATGATAGCCCGTTGTTTTTCAAGGAAAACCCACATGAGGCTACTCAGGTGAAGAATTGTTTGGCAGTTTATGAGAATTTGTCTGGACAAATGGTGAATTACCACAAACCTAGTATCTGTTATAGTAAGAATACAAGTCAGGAATATAGGGATGTGGTGGCACATATTTTAGGGGTAGACCAAACCCCTAATTTTGGCAAATATTTGGGATTGCCACCGTTTGTGGGGAGAAATAAGAAGGCGGCCTTTGCATATATTGAAGACAAAATCCGACAGAGGATGGGTCGTGGAGTAGGAAATTTCTCTAACAGGCGGGAAAGGAAGTCTTATTGAAAAGTGTGGCTCAAGCTAAACCTACCTTTTCAATGAGTGTCTTTTTGTTGCCTATATCTGTGTGTACAGCTATTGAACGGACAATGAATCGCTACTGGTGGGGCTCATGGACTGACCGTGGTATTCACTGGAAGGCATGGGATAAGTTGTGTATCCCTAAGCAGTATGGAGGCCTGGGTTTCAAGGATCTGAAAGCATTTAATTTGGCAATGTTGGGTAAACAGGCATGGAGGTTGTTGACCAATACTGACTCACTTGTCTCTCGAGTATACAAAGACAGATACTATCCTAAAAGTTCATTTTATGAAGCAGAGATTGGAAATAATCATGTTTATTGCTGGCAAAGTATTATGGCTGCTAAAGCATTAATAACAAGCGGAGTAAGACGTCGCATTGGGGATGGAAAGTCTACCTTAATATGGGAACATTCCTGGCTTCAGGATGAGCTGGAACTAATGGTCCAAACGGAGATGCCACCTTAGCTAACTGGTGCAAAAGTTGTGGGATTAATTGATCAAAATACTGGTACATGGGATCCCCACATTTTAACAGACATTTTCCACCCAAATGATATACCTAGAATTTTAAAGATTCCGGTCTCGCCAGGATATGAGGATATATGGTATTGGTATGAGGACCCAAATGGATGCTATTCAGTAAAGAATGGGTATAGGCTAATGGTGGGAACTTATGAGAATAATACTGGTTTTGATAAGTGGCGAACCCTATGAAATTTGAAAATCCCCCCTAAACGGAAATATGGGCATGCTTGGAATCTTCTTTGTTGCGATGAGGTGGCTTTCTTTTGGATTTGCTTGGAATCTTGCACACACTCCCACAGCATAAGAAATGTCCGGCCTGCTTGCAGTAAGATATAGAAGAGAACCAATCATTTCTCTATATTTTGTTTGATCGACATCCTTTCCATCTTCATCTTTGTCTAGCCTTATTGATGTGCTCATAGGAATTTTGATTGATGATTTTCCATCAAGGCCAAACTTCTTTATCAAGTCGCAGGTGTACTTTGCTTGATTGATGAATACTCCTTCTTTCAGTTGTTTGACTTGTAAGCCCAAGAAGTAATTCAATTCACCCATCATGCTCATTTCGAATTTATTCTGCATAAGCTTCGAAAATTTCTCACACAAAGAATTGTTAGTGCTTCCAAAAATAATATCATCAACATATATTTGCACTAATAAAATATGATCACCATCTTGAATTCTAAATAGAGTTTTGTCAACAAGGCCTTTGGTGAATCCACAACTTATCAAGAACATTGACAAAGTATCATACCAAGCTCTAGGTGCTTGTTTCAACCCATACAATGCTTTTTTAAGTTTGTAGACTTTATCATCTTCGCCTTTTACCTCAAAACCTGGGGGTTGTTCGACATAAACTTCTTCTTCGAGTAGACCATTCAAGAATGCGCTTTTCACGTCCATTTGATAAACGGTGAAATCTTTGTGTGCGGCGTAGGCTAGGAAGATTCTGATTGCTTCAAGTCGGGCCACCGGTGCAAAAGTTTCATCAAAATCTATTCCTTCTTCTTGAGAGTATCCTTTTGCAACGAACCTTGCTTTATTCCTAACAATCACGCCTTCTTCGTTTGCTTTGTTCCGGAAGACCCATTTGGTTCCTACAACATTTTGGTTCGCCGGTCTTGGAACAAGTTCCCAAACATCATTTCTTCTGAATTGATCGAGCTCTTCTTGCATAGCATTTATCCAATCCGGATCATTGAGAGCTTCGTCAACTTCTTTTGGTTCAAATTGAGATAGATAACACGTGAACAATGCTTCCATGGTAGATGATCTTGTTTTCACGCCTTCATGAATATTCCCAATAATTAATTCTGGAGGGTGATTTTTGAGCCATCTTAAATCTGGTTCAAATGGGTGCATGGTACTGGGTGGATCCATTTGTTGTGTACTGGAAGAGTTGATTCGAATTTCATCATTTAATTCTTCTTGAAATTGATCACCAACTTCACCAGTAACTTGATCACTAATTGGATCACCAACCTCAATCCGTACTGCATCTCCATTCTCACGTGCGGCATCACCTCCAAAATTATTATTAAAAGAATTTCCAACTTCTTCTGGACGAGGGATGAGATTTTTTAGAGAATTAATTTTCAACTCATCCATTCCCTGCAAAACATCATCTTCACACGTATCATTAGTATCACAAAAATCAAAATGACACTTGTTACCATTTTGTGCAATTTCTTCGTCCAGAGCGCCATTTTTTATTTGTGATTTTTCATCAAATACCACGTGTATGGATTCTTCAACCACCATTGTTCTTTTATTCAAAACTCTGAATGCTTTGCTGGTAGCTGAATATCCTAGAAAAATTCCTTCATCTGTGATAGGCATATTTTACACTCATATTTTAGGTACATCTTTATAATAATTTTGCACTAATTATTTAATATTATTTAACAATTAGTATTTTTTAAGAGTTTAACAATTAATGAGCTAAATATAGTACTAAATATATATAATATATAATATATAATATATAATATATAATATATAATATATAGTATACATATATTACGTACTACTACATAAGATAATATATAACATATATACGAACACATCATAATATATATATATATATATATATATATATATATATATATATATATATTATAATGGTCCAAATCCCCTAGCTAATTCCTAGCATGCATGAAATTAAAAGATTAAAATCTTATGATTGAATTGTTGTTTTCTTTTACAGGCGTGCGGAGCTCAAGGACAAACATGGAAGCCTTCAGGACGTGAGGCACAAAAGTAGGAAAATAGGTGGTAGAGGTTCATTGAGTCTATTTTTAGAATGCTATAAATAGTAGAAGTTTCCATTTGTAAAACGTTCATTCTTCCCCTCTCGATTATTCTGTAAAGCTGTTATCAATGTCCATTCATTGCTAAATTCTTTAGCTTGGTTTAGTGAATTGAAGCCCCGGAATTGATTATGCTGTAAGATTATTTATTTATTTTTATTATATAATTTTTATGCATTTGGGTATTAAATATTCTTCTAAGTTATTTGAGTAGTTGTATCATTTAATTGCTAGGGAGGCCTACTAGTTATTTACTTGATATAATTATTTGCTATATTAGATAATGTTGTGCTACAAATTATTCTAATATTCAGTAGCAACTGGGTTAATTATTGAAGGCTTAGTGATAATTGGACTCGGGTAGAATATTTTCCTAAGTTGAATGTAACCGCTTGTGCTTGTGTTATTTAGTTTGTCGGTTTTCCTAGTTTCTATTGCTGCTATTAAATTAAATCTATAGCGCTTGTCTTAGGTTATTTAGTAGTTAGGGGTAATTAAACCGCGTGTGCTTTAGTTACTTATAACTAAGGGAAAACGGAAATGAAATAATTTCACGACAAATATTCAATTGCATATTAATTACTTTACTAATCAATGATCAGTGTTAAATTCCGGTGGTGGATCTTTACTAAC